AAACATTTTTTGTAAGTATACGTATAAATGAAATGTATGTGTAGAAAACAATTTTAATCGAAAAGTTTAATGTCCGATGCACACAGTTACTTGTTACATTTTACTTACCTTGCGCCCTCCTCTTAATTATAATGAGATCAAGGGCTGGCCTAGGTGTACTTCAACGAGTCATCTTGTATATATCTGTATATTGAAATAAAGATGATTTTAACCACCAATTGTAAATCATTTGTTTAAAGTACTTCTCATCAGATTATTGCAGTGTACTGTGGATCTTTTATCAAACAGTGCGCGCTAAAAGCAAGAGGGGGCAGTGTCTTGTGATCTTTCTGCCTCTCGTCATCGTTATTCCTCTCATCCTCATCCTAATCGATTAGCCGAAGGCCACCACTTCTGATTAGGAGTCTGCGAGCATATCCCTATAATTCCCATCAGCGGAGGAATCGGAATCCCGTATTCTGGTCCTCGCATCGCGCCCGTTATCTTTAATATCTGTCTTGTTGTTCTTGTTGCAGAGATAGGAGAACAGATCAATGCTAACAGGAAACACAAGGTTATTAGCCAGGGAGATAAATGCCCAGATAAGGCTGCTGTAATAGATGGGCTTGTCAGGCCGGACCAGATTGGACAGTTCTTGAATGTCATTGTCTAACTAATGGACCATCCATTCATTTCAGAGCATCACCGTTTGCCCTTGGTCTTCACATCTTTTAAGTCATGAAGACTAAGTTCAATATAGAAATGCCACCAACTGACCTAAGGCCACACCAATTTAATTTCTTGGTTAACGGATTTTTCTATAAAAATAACGGAGCGGGCGGGCGAAAAAAAAAATAAAAATAAAAACAGGCCTAGGCATCCTATTATGGCCCCAAATGGTACGACAGGAGCCATGAAGTCAACACACCAGGCCGGTTCAAAATTTAAACAATGAATTTTGAACTTTTAATGATACCACTGCATTGAAAGATGGAATTACTGTAACACCTAGGAAGAAAAGGACTGTTTTCAACTGTTCAGGGCAAAATATGAGCATTTTGCAGTTGATTCTGAATTTTTATTTTTATTTGCAAATCAGAAAAAAATGAAGCGGCGAATCCGTTAACCAAGAAATTAAATTGGTGTGGCCTAAGGCAGATTTGGTCTTGAAGAGTATTAAGAATTTACCAAGCAAAGATTAACTTCTGTGCTCTTTTGGATATGGCCTGAAGAAAGTTTGGCTAGCTGGCTGTATCCATGTTTTTGATACTATCTACAAATTAAACTCTTTTTAGTCCATAAATTATATAGTATATATTGATAGGCTTTCGTATTAATATTTTGTACAAATTAAAGCCTACTACATGTACATGCTGTGAGATATTTTTAAAACTGAATATTTTGGCAAATTTGAGCCTAATCAGGACATCATTTTAATGATAATTAAAATAATTTTGCCATAATTTTCTCCTTTCTATATTCATTTGCTAACATATCATTTTTTTGAAAGTACCACCTAACTTAAGACCGCCTTTCTTTTTATCAGTTTAACTCAACAAAGTCAAATGTTAGTCCAGTGAACACATTTACTGTTTGACTGTGTCTTTGAATGAAAGTACCACAAGATCACTGCCATCATTTCATGATTTTGAGGAAGACTTGGTACCTGTTAAGTCTAGACAGATACAGGGCTATCTTCCCCTGAGTGTATAGTGAACGAGCCCCGGGGTCACAAAGTAGGGCCATCCCAGCAGAGAGGTCTTCCCAAGGGTTTAAAGGAATGTGGGCATAGATGTGGGTCAGAGACATGCCTGCGGACATTACGCATGCCTGTGGACAAAATGCCTGTACCATTCCTAGAATTCTTGCAAACTGCACACAATACATTAGGCTCCTCCCTGAGACGTCGCCAAAAATTGATGCAGCTTCACTTCTCTTCCAGATAACCTTGAGGCTGCACTAAGAAATGATATTAGTCTTTTGACATTGGATTGGTGTGATAAATGTTCCTAGCACCTTGCCTGCAGCAAACATTCCTTCCAACTAATCTGGTAATTATTCACAATGTTCTCAAATGTCTCCGGGCCATTATGTTATTATTAGCATGGTGGAAACCATTATAAAGTTCATGATGCTAACCAGAGGGCCATTAGTAATGATCAGTGTCAAATTCAAAGCAACTATTTTGTATACCATAAAAAAAAGGATTTTTCATTATGATAACGTGAAAAAGAGAGCATTTTTTTAAATGCACGTACATTGTACTACTATTTCTAGCAACATTGAATGTGATTCAGCTTTAGTTTTATGCAAATTGCATTGTCCATGGTGACCTAATGCTTATATTGACTAAACTAAAGGAAAATGTTTTGCCATAGGTGTGTTGCAGATATCTTAAGTCTATGTAATAATGTGATGCAGAGAGGCTATTACTAGATATAAGGGGGCTACTGACTTAATTTTAAGTAATGATATCATATTTTCAGAGGGTGATAAAATGAATATTACTTGTAGTTTATGACATGCCAATAGAATTCTAAAGTTTCTGAGCTAAATGCATTTAACTGTCAAAGCAATCACCACAAAATCCATCAGAATGCATGACAAATGGTCATGAGGCTTGCTCATTCTGCCCTGTTGGAGAGCTTGTAATTCCTGGTAGAGTAGATGTACATTCATGCCCGTAGCCAGGGGGGGTCCGGGGGGTTCGGAAGAACCCCCCACAAGGCTCAAAGGTCCACTTTTTGGTCCACTTTTTATGTAAAGGTCCACTTTTTGGTCCACATTTTATGTAAAGGTCCAAGATTTTTCTTGAGAAGATGGACTGGAATTGTAGAGAAACTGCTCCCTTTGTCATTGAATAAAAATTTATCTCTGATTTTTTCTTGGAAATCCTTTCAAAAATGCATGAAATGCCATTTTAGAAGGTTCAATTTCCAAAATTTTCCGGGGGAGCATGCCCCGGACCCCCCCTAGGAACCTCGCGCCTTCGGCGCTGGCCTCGCGCCTACGGTGCTCAAGGTCCCCTCAAGCAGTGGGAAGAACCCCCCCATTCAAAATCCTGGCTACGGGCATGCCATTATCATCATTATTAAAAAGCTGCTTGTTACGGTCACAATATGGATGGTTTATGAGATAATGCTCATGATCTGAGGCACTACAGAGAGCACATCCTGTATAACTGGTGGACTGACACATTCAATCATCCTCTGTAGATAACCCTTACTGTGTACAAATAGGTAGTACTACATATATTAAAGACCTTACATCAAGTAGTATAAGTTGATTAATCTATTGTTTTGTACGTAGGTCAATGTTTATGTGAATAAACCAGTCATCATCAAAAATAATTGTGAATGTGATGGGTAGTTTTTTGGTAATGATGAAAATAGACATTGACTGTACTACGTCTAATGAGTTGATTACTCAGTTGTTGTGTCTGCAAACTTCACTCGTGCAAGAGAAGAAATTTTTATTAATAATTGATGTAGATTTAGTGGATTAGCTGATCAAAAGCAGGACAACTCTGTTTGACACCCGCATTGTTTACTCTCAAAAGGTTACCTTGAATCTGTCATTAGGCCACACCAATTTAATTTCTTGGTTAACGGATTCTCCTCTTCATTTTTTTCTGATTTGCAAATAAAAATAAAAATTCAGAATCAACTGCAAAATGCTCATATTTTGCCCTGAACAGTTGAAAACAGTCATTTTCATCCTAGTTGTTACAGTTATTCCATCTTTCAATGCAGTGGTATCATTAAAAGATCAAAATTCATCGTTTAAATTTTGAACCAGCCTGGTGTGTTGACTTTATGGCTCCTATCGTACCATTTTGGGCCATAATAGGATGCCTTGGCCTGTTTTTATTTTTATTTTTTTTTTCGCCCGCCCACTCCATTATTTTTCTAGAAAAATCAGTTAACCAAGAAATTAAATTGGTGTGGCCTAATGGGTTGATAACAGTTGTTATGTCTGCAAACTTCACTCATGCAAGAGAAGGAATTCTAATGATGTAGATTTAGCTGATCAAGAACAGGACAACTCTGTTTGACAGTCACCTTGTTTACTCTCAAAAGGTTACCTTGAATCTGTTATATCTCTTTCCTATAGACATTACAAGCAAACACAGTACAGGCTGTCATACTACAGAGGCGTGGTTGCATGAGAGATGCGAGTCTAGTCGTCAACCTTTGTTTGAATAATGGTGGAGGACAGTTCTGCAGTCCTGTGACATTTACAGGCTGGATGCCAAGGGACATAGAGCTGTCATCCCTCCTCAATAGATGGGCTCCTGGATAAGCTTTTTCCTGCAGACAATCAATACTTGTTCTTGATTCATTTCATACCAGTTATCTTCCGGTGAGGGTGCTGAGTAGACAGCTCCTATCCTACTAACTGCAGTCTGGAGGTTTTCACATGCGTGAAGTGAGCCCATCAGTTAACGGCTGACCCAGTGACTCGGTTGTTCCCTGGATCAACGATTGTTTTCTGCTTGGGAGGAAAGGAAGCATGTTCCATCAACAACTCTAGCAGGGGATGTTTGATTTTGATCAAGAATGTAATCCGTTTTTTTGTGCTTATATGAAACCTTTTTTAATTGTTTACAAAGCTGATCCTTTCCCACTTCTTTCTTGCAGATGTAGACACCTAGAAGTGCTTCAAAGTTCTTTTATCTATTAAAGAAATGAAATCTTTTGGCTTTAACGTATTGTCTTTGCAAAGACATCATTCTATTGCTGAACTCCACCTAGAATTTTCCAGTACACTTTGCTGCCCTGCTAACAATAGTAACATTAAAGGTATTAATATATAGTAGCAGTTCTATTGGTGTTGTCTTACCATGTCAATGTCACTTACCAGTCTTTGTTATTGTTAACCAGTTTTTCCAATTTTTCATACAAAATGTATATTAAACTTGTTGGTCTAGCTCTGTTAGTTCATTCTTATGAAGCTGAAGAAGTCACTCAAAACATAGTGAGCACATGTATCTATAAATGACGTGTTGTCTGTTGTTTCAGGTGGTCGGATCGAAGCATTAACAGCTAATTTGCCAGAAGAAGATTCATCCATCAGTAGGAATGATTCACTGGCGCGTGACCCGTGTTCGCTTGCGAATGTTCCAACTCTGCATCGTTCTGACTCTCTTCATCTCCATGATGGGGATTTTCCGTGCCCTAAACACCCAAATAACACTGATTGATGATAGTATAGAGGACCAAGGACAGCTGCACGTCCATGTTATCCGCAGTGGTGCCGCCGTGAAGGACTGTGGAGAGACACAGACTCACGAGGAGGCTAGGATTGAAGTCGGTCGTGCTGCTGCTGATCAGTTACGTAGTGTTACACAACAGCTCATAGAAATCAAGAGATTACTACGAGGAGCCGCCCCCATACACAGCCTACAAGCAGCGTTACACAGAGTCAACAGGATAGCAGATGATCTAAGAATTGGAGACCTTAGTAGTCTGATACAGACTGAGCTTCAACATCCAACTCCATCAGTTAAAACAGCTCCACAAAAAGTTGACGTATGCCCCGATACCTTCAAAGGTTCCACGTATGGGTACCCCTTTTTCTACACAGGGTGGGTGAGGACAAACTGCACCAATGCAAAGTCTCTTGAGTCAGTCGTAACGATCATAATGAACTTCATGTATGAAGACAAAAGTGTAGATGTTGTGTCTATTCTTAGGAACATTTCGGTGTTGTACCCCATGGTGGAAGTTCATGTGGCAGCCGATCTCAAACTTCCCAAGGACCTTGCCGGGAACAGAAACTTCACAGTTCACGGGGACCTGGCAGGGGAAACCAACGCTGAAATCTGGTACAAACTCCTTCTCAAGGTCAAGACGCCGTACGTTCTTGTAACCCGGGGCATTACTCGGTTCACCTGGGACGCACAGTTAGAGCAGGCAATCCACAGTGCCAGTAGCTTCCCTGTAGACTTTGTAGGAAGTGCATTTAGGACAAATAATGGACATTGGAACATGGGATGCCAACAGTCCCTTCTCAGGAACTTCACTTTATCTTACAAGGATGGGTACGACGCCTCCATCCACGAGTGTATATACTGCGACAACTTGAGGGGGCCTTTCCTTGCTAGGACTAATGTGCTCAGACAGTACAAATTCCCCGCAAACTACAGGCACTTTGTCTTTGAAGATGTCTTCTTGCAAGTAAAAGAGCTGGGCAAGCATCAAGTTGTGAGCTGTCCAGATTCTATGTTTTTTGTGAAAGACTACGATGCCTTGCTAAGAGATAAGATTAATTTTGTACCCATTGCAAGTACCTGGGGGATCAACAAGCTTCACCTAGCCGAGGGGATTGAGCACATTTTCTCCTGTTCAGAAGCAAACACGCCATGCAGAAAGATGAAAGGGGTGGCTGTCTCTCCGTGTTGCCTTCAAACATTAGCTGATGCAGTGAAGTTTCTCATGAGGACTTGCGAGGAGGAACACATTTACTGTGAACTTCAGGAAGGAACGATGCTCGGCGCCGTCAAATTAGGCAAGGTGCTGCCGTGGGAACGAGACGCCGACATCACATTTCTTTCAGGCAACTACTCGGCCTTCAAAGAGCTGAGGCCGAAGTTTGAGCGGGAAGGGTACAAGTTTGTGGACCTGGGACAGCAGTGGTGCTGTGTTGATAACAGGACAGCCGGTGGGAAGTTCCAGATCGGAGTGGAAGGGTGGACGATAGAGATGTACGGTCAGCATCTCATGGACTCAGAGATGATGGTGGCAAGAGGTGAGGTGTCTACAAACATTTCCTTCAGTTTATCCTCTAGTCCAAGACAGAGGATAAACTGTACAAAAATATGATAAGGGTCCATTGTTTTATGTCTGAACTTCAGGGTTACATATTTTCAGAAGTTATAGATAGTATTTAACAAATGTGAGAAATTAATCTAGAACAGTCAAATTACTGAATTTAAAGGAAAAATGTTACTTTTCTGTCTCAAACAGTGGATATGTGTATTACGTTCTGAACTGACAAGTTCTGAATATTGTTTTGGCTGCCAACAAAGTAAAACATTTGCTATTATCCAGGCCCTATAGATTGACCGGGGGACCATATAAAGACTATGTTAGCTGAAAATAGAGTACTCCCTTACTAGTACTTAATCAGTCAATGCACTGTGTGGTTCTTTTATCAAAGCCAAAAGTTTATCAAAAGTCTGGAAAATGCAAAAGTTTGGAGTGCATTTTTTTCATGCCACTTCAACATTGATCCTATCAAAAAGCGAAGCAGTATTAAATGTTGCCCACTGACTCCCGATCCTATAATCACCACCTAGCATTACCGTCAGGCACTTACAGCAAAACCGGACAGGAAGATCTGATATACAATGCCAGGGGCTTCTAAGTACATTAGCTCTTGGCATGCTTAAGCCATTCGGACTTCTTTTGAAGCTGTGTTTACGACTGCAAGCTACACGAAGGATTAGCCTGACCGGCAAGAATTGCTATGTTCTACAGGAGAGCTTTTGAAAGTCAGGAGTCCAGGTGATGATTGAAAGAGCTTAGGGCAGGTTGGCTAATGTACTATCACAGCGGTCGGGATGTTTTAGTGGAGTGATTAAACTTGTCTCATATGTCAGTGCCAGTATACTCAGAACACTTCTGCATGGGAAAGGACATTGTAAAGATAACACAGCACTCCAGACAGTAAAGATAAATGGTAGTGAAGTACAACATAGAAACAACTGTGGAATAGCAAGATTCCATTTGAATAACCTTTTCGGAAGAAATGTAAATGTTTATGGGTAACGTTAATGATTAGAAAATACTTATGATAAGAATTAAGTTTGAATTTGATTGAAAAAAATACTTAGTACATTGTATTTTTGCAATCAGAATAATTTCGACAAAATTTTAACTAGCTAAACATTGCTTGAAAAATTGGGAGAGTGTCAATACTAGATTTTGCAGTAAATAACGTCAGAATTAATTACACACTCAGACATTATTATCAAGAACAGTTTACATCATTGGTTACATGTAGATACTACAGGGCCCTTATGAAATCTAACACATTTCTTCTGTAACTAAGGCCACACCAATTTAATTTGTTGGTTCTCGGATTTTTTCAGAAAGAAAAATGAAGCGACAGGGCAAAAACAATAAAAACAGGTCTAGGCATCCTATTATAGCCCCAAATGCTACAATGAAATTAAAATATGTAATCTGTAAACATGAAGTCAACACAAAAGGTTGGGTTTAACTTAATATTTAAGCAATGAATTTTGACATTTTTATCAAACCACTGCATTGATAGATGGAAAAACTGTTACTGTAACAGTAACAACTAGGAAGAAAAGGACATTCCTTCCTCAACTGTTTGGGGCAAAATATGAGCATATTTGAGTTGATTCAGAACCAGAATTTTTTTTCTTTTTGCAAATCAGAAAAAAATGAAGAGGCAAATCCGAGAACCAACAAATTAAATTGGTATGGCCTAATATGTAGTCTGTAAACATCAGTGTTTTTAAACCCTGAACTTCAACATTTGGTGCACAGAAAGCTTCTTTAAAAAGAAGCCTTCTGTGCACCAAATGTTGAAGTTCAGGGTGTGCATGTGCCATGAAATTTAATGTGAAACCTTACAAAGTAGTCTGATATAATAAGATCCTTACCATTGACCTTGAGAATTAATCAAGCTTATTGCATGCATGACCACTACTGATAGCTTGCCCCTGCTGATTTTCTACTGAGTTATCCAATTTGATAATTAATTTTAGAGGAAAGCAATTCCTTGGCAAGGATGGCTTGATCTTCTTCTAGACCTTGACATTTTGATATTGAAAATAATTTTGCTGCTGCATCTCAATCTTCATGCTGAATATTTCCAGTGGCATAATATGATTTAATATGATAAAATTGCTCCCCCTAAAGAGCCCTTACCTTTTTTGGGTATTATGATGTTTTATTAGCAAAACACTAGTCTCAGGAATTCATGGGTAAAATGAGGACAACAAACTTGGTCTAGTGGTACAATGTACCTTTGGAATTTCTTTCTATGACTTGTAATTCAGCCACTGACTGCAAGGAGGCTTACTATGATAGTATAACTATAAGCAGTAACGTGTGCATGCATGTCAACTTCTAGAAATCAGAACCAACATGGTAAAGAATGAAAAATGAATAGTTGACTGATATATGATCTGATTTTGACTTTTATTATGGTATTGACTGTAAGTTTTCCTTTTTACAACAACCTGGTTGAGATTTACAGCGAACTGGTGCATGAATTCTAATATCTTTGAGTGAGTTAGAAAATCATGGTCGTATGATCCAGCAATCAAGCACACAATTTATACGACCTAGTATTGTCTGTGTCATAAGTCTGCCGGCAGGCAACACAAGGTGACCTTCGTCATGGTCTGTTGCAGCGATATTTTCATTAGTCAGAAAGGAATCTCCTGTCAGAATCTGGCAGCTTACGGCAGATCCTACTATGATATTCCATTTCCCAGCAATCAAGTCGAGATGATACATGGATTTGTGCCGACTCAGATAGGGTCAGGGGAGGAAATTAAATGGTTCTGCCATTTTGTTATGCTCCATGGACAGAAAAAGTCCATTAGTATGGAAGTTCTGCAGGGTTTGTCCTACATTTCCTGCCCAAAGCAAAAGGGGTTGGTGGAAAAAAGAGTCTAGTCCGATTGGCAGAAAAAGCAGTCCAGTTCGATTTGGGGGTGGAAAAAGCAGTCCGGCGGTACACACACAAGAAAAAAATGTGCCTGTGGTCTTTCGTAGAATTTCGTAGAAACCACCGGACTGCTTTTTCCACCCCCAAATTGGACTGGACTGCTTTTTCTGCCAATCGGACTGGACTCCTTTTTCCACCAACCCAAAGCAAAAGGGTGAACAGTAAGCGTATGACATTTCTATGTCATATTCTCACGGATGGAAACATGATTGAATTTAAGGGAAGCCAATTTAAAAACATGGCATACAAAGTGAGATTTACATGGTTTCTGTTTAGATTTGCAGGGGGGGGGGATTAGAGCATTTTCACCTCCATCTAATCCAGTGGTACATTGACGGGAGGAGGACCAATTGCAGACACTCTCATACCTCCACAAAATATCTAGAGTTTTAAAAATATTTGTGAATAAGTGTGTTATTTTGATGAGACCAACATACATTATAAGTATGGTAGAAAAAAAATGAAGGAGCTATATAATTATAATGATTATCAACTAGACTCACAGCCTAATCTTCAACACATGAAAATACAAGCCATTTCATAAAAATAAAGCAGACAGATCTACTTTTGCAGACAGTTTTTTTTACAATGTTGCTTTTTTAGAGACAGGTATTAAGGAATCATTGAGCCATATTATAAGCCTTTAAATATGTGTGGGACCAATTGTCATATTCTCAGCTTTAAAGTACATGTAGGCCTACATGTACAATGTAAGCCAAGAGTTGTTGTCCTAAATGTGTACCCTCAGCTCAGTGGCTGGCGCCTTTTGCTCTTGCCCCTTGCTAGAAGATTTAATCATGAGTCGTATACCTTAGACAGCTATTAGAGGGAAAATTGTCTGAGTGCTGCCATGGTCACGTTCCATTAAGCTCACAATCTGACGCTGGTATCAGGGAAGCCTTCAGGGCTGTTACCATGGTCACAGACAATAACATCTCCAAGGGAGAATATTGTGGATTGGTTGAATGTCATCCTGGTCATACTTCATAATTCCGGACATCCTCCAGGCTGGGGACAATCTAAGCTATCACAACAGCCAAATTAGAAAGAAAGCTTTGCTTGTGGCATTGCTGTATAGGCCATTTTTTTTTACATACATGTAGATGAGGGGAGAAATTGTGATGCTAGCATGTGTGGTCGTAAGAAATTATGCCAGCAACAGCAGTGACACCAGGTCTATAGGGTGAATGTAACTTATTGTAAGGGATACAAAACTTTGTGAGAAAATTAGATCTAAAGAAATTTTGATATATTATTAGTACTTCTATTTGTCTCATTTTGGTAATATATAGACTGCAATGTATTACACCATCTGCTCTAAATTACATATGAAATTCTTCTAGACGAGAAATGATTTCTTTTTTAGTTCAGATTATTGATTTTTGATGCTGTGTAAAATAGATTTTGTTGTACAGGGATGCATGCCTGGAAGAGGGCCTGCATGGGGGGTAGTGATTACGAATTACGCAAAATTTTTGCCACCGATTACGAATTACGTTAAAGGCTCAGAGCTGATTACGACTTTACACTTTGCAGCTAATGTAATTACAAATTATGTTGATTTCTGGGAGGCTGCCTATGGATTACGACAAGACTAAAAAGGCCTGATTACGCCTTACAAAAAAGGGCATGCAGCCCCCCCCCCCCTGGAACAGTCTTGTCTCATAGCCAATTGGCCCAGTCCTAATTGCCCACAGGCTTTTCACTGATGATCCAGATAATAAGACTTTGATATCTGCACATCAATGGTACCTGTGGGTAAGGTTGATAGCATCTGCTTGAGGGGATACTAAAGTAATGTGAACTGCTAGTTATCATCCTAGTTACATGTTACACCTTGTGCATGTCCATCACAAAATGTGGATCTGTTACCTCCTGGGACTTTTCACACTGATGAAAGTAGTTATAACTAGAAAAGTAACATTTGCAAAGCAAATGCATAATGTTGTAACCTTCGGACATGGTCTGCCCTGTTGATTTTTACTCATACACATCCACATACATGTACTACGAGTATGTGGTGACAGGAGTAGAGCAGACCATGAAATTGCAACATTATGTAACCCAACACCAGTCACCGTGGTGACAGATGTCAACAAATCATGTCATTGGCCAGGACAAAGGTTAGTGTTTGGAACAGAAGAGGAAGAAACTGAGTAAAAACAATATGTTTTCCTTCGGTAAACATAATTATGAGGGAGCTTCTGTTAGATGTATGGCACAACTGGTGTAATATACAAGTATGTAACAAGAATTCATTAAGTGATAGATACAGGTAAGACCACACCAATTTAATTTCTTGGTTAACGGATGTTTCTAGAAAAATAATGGAGCGGGTGGGCAAAAAAAAAAGAAATAAAAACAGGCCTCGGCATCCTATTATGGCCCAAAATGGTACAATAGGAGCCATGAAGTCAACACACCAGGCTGGTTCCAAATGTAAACAATGAATTTTGAACTTTTAATGATACCACTGCATTGAAAGATGGAATAAATGTAAAGTCTAGGAAGAAAAGGACTGTTTTCAAATGTTCAGGGCAAAATATGAGCATTTTGCAGCTGATTCTGATTTTTTTTTGCAAATCAGAAAAAAAATGAAGCGGGCAAATCCGTTAACCAAGAAATTAAATTGATGTGGCCTAAGAGGAGAAGAGAAACAATCTGAAAGAGTTTAGGTTGACCAGATGGGATATACATGTAGGAAATTGGATATTATTAAATGCTGTAAAGCCTTTGTTAATGAAATTATTTAAAATATTTACAAAATGTACAACACTGTATATTATGTATAATTGTTTCCACCTCAATTTTTTTTTAATTGATAAGTTTATTTTTGATTATAAAAAAGATAGCAGGAACCTGTTTTGCCCATCTACCACCAAATAAAACCACCACTATGAAAGTAATGAATTTACAGTGAGACAAAAGGTCAACCCTAACTTTTGTGACAACTTTGGGCCAGGTTAAGCCATAAAGGCTCTGATAGAAATTTATCATGCCCTGGGCAAAAAGAAATTGAGTGCAACCATTTTTCTTGAAGCTATCTGGGGCTGTAAATTATGAAGTTGGCCCCTATCCAGCCTTCAATTTATCTTTGCTTTCAGTTTCACTTAAGATTATAAATGGCTTCAAAGTTCAAACACTGACTGGGTCGTACCAAAGGCAAAAAAACAAAACATTTCTCTGCATAGCATCAAGCATTCATTTTGAAGAGTATGGGAGTTGAGCACACACCACTGCCAGTGGACTAGCTCCAAACTGTACTCTGTCTGGTCCAAGGGACCTCCTATATGCATTGTACATGTAACGTTAAGGAAAGGAGTGCATTTTTTTATAAGGCCTAGGAAAATTGTGTATCTTGTTTCAGTTCCGAAAAAATTAGGGCCAGTAGGTAGGGATTATCTTTTTTTTTTTTTTTTAAAGACTTTTGGTAGTCTGTAGTGATCCAACTCATGATTACACAATCAAATTTAATAGATACCCAATAATGACAAAAAAATTGGGATGATTGTGTATTGATTTATTTGAATAAATGTAAGAGTTGCTTCTCTTTTTTATAGTCCACACACTTGACAATGCCCATCATCATTGGAAGAAAATGGAAAGAACTTCAAGTGAGTAACAGTCTGTCTCCCCTCTCAGGTCAGCAGCCCACAAAGGTATTGTTTGATGGGATGTGGGTGAACGTTCCTACCAACCCAGGACTCTTCGCACGAAACAGGTAAGGAATACAGAAACCAGCATGTTGGCAGAACGTACTGCACCTGTGTGAAACCCATAGTGTATTGTGCATAGCACTTCCATACATTTGTAGAACTTACCATTATAAGATCGTATTCGCGTATATAAGGTTAACATCCCATCTGTTAAGTTTCCAAATGTTATGTCAAAAAAATATCGTCTGCAACAGGCAAACTTTTGATGCCATGTTGACCAGAAACCCAACGAAAACCATGAAAATTTAGGGTTTTGCACAGGCGCAGTACGTTCTGCTGACATTCTAGAGAAACCCTATTTTTCAGCTACCCTGTTTGAAAAAAATTAATATGACGGGGCAGCTATAAGAGCATAATTCTTATCAATAAGCCTCCTAACACTTTTCTTTCCACCTATAGTGCCTTGTGTATAACGTTATTCTCATTTGATAACATAATTTACGGAATCCCCCCTCAACTTTTTTTAATGGAATAGCCCACACACCTGGGTCCTCTTGTCATTAAATAAGGCCATGTTGATTTGATTATATGGATGACATCCGCGCGCGCATGAATTTTCGGCCGTTTCCCCCCCAAAAAAAGTTTTCAACCATACTGTAAAACGTACAAAACAGTTGCAAAATGAGCAAAAATATACCATAAGTTACAAAAAAAATTTATAAAAACTATACCAATGTCGTAGAATGCCAAAATCAAAGGAAAAAAGACGAAATTGTAAAGAAATGAACTTGAAGACTAGATTATTCGCCAAACCATATTCTGTGCCATTTGCTCAACCCTCATGACTACGTAGATTTCATAATGAAAAGAACTTTTTTTTTTTGAAACTTTTTTTTTTATTCGCACGCGCGCATCAGTTTTGGGGCTCCCGGAGGATGTCATCCATATAATCAAATCAACATGGCCTAAAGTTGAAATGATGTAAGAAGGCTGCAGGTTATTCAATACATACTTTAATGCCCAGGGTAGTGTACATACTGTATTGCCTATTTAGGCCCTACCCAGTGGATCATTTTCTGTTTGTGGTTCTGAATGGCCTTCACTGCACACCAGGTCACCCATGTAATGACTTTTGGCACCTCCTAGAAAACCCCATTAATAACCCACAGCCAAACAGCTACATTTCAGCCATTAGGGTTTGACAAGTAAGTGGGGTATCCATGTGAAACAGGCAATGGGAAAATTTGATATGATTATATTTAGTGCTCTGAGGTTGCAATGCCTGATGTTGGATGTTTAATACATGCAGTGAGACGACATAATTGATATGCTCAACATTAAATGGGTTTTCAAACCTTTCAAAAGATCTAACGCTCATCATTCCATTACACACATTGAAAGGAAAGTGAAAAACAATTTTACAATACAAAATAGTAACAATGTGCACCTTAGGATGCATCCAATATTCCAATTAATATCCAACAAAATTTCAGTGCGATCCTCTCTATTTTGCATACTAGACTCACCCCTTACAGTCCTTCATGGTAAATTGTTTGGTCAAGTTAGGTCATGACTCGGTGTGCATTCTTGTAGAAAAGCATGGGAAGTCTGCCAGAATTGCCTCAAATGGCCACAGCTTTTGTCACGTGCAGAGAGTTGGAAACTGACCAAGTGCACTCCTGACTCCCTACACTATAGAATAACCTATTTCCCAACAGCAGCATTCATTGTTAAGGCCACACTTCATATTTTCCCCGATTTCCCCCCCCCCCCAAAAAAAAAAAACATTTCAGGCTCTGAATCACCTCCAAAATGTTCACATTTTGGTCCCAACAGTTGAAGGAAGTCCCTTTTCTTGAGAGTTGTAACAGTTATTCCATCTATTGAATGCAGTGGTTTGATTAAAGTTTGAAATTCATTGTTTGAATCACAAACCACTGCCTGGTATGTTGACTTCATGGCTCCTATCATAGCATTTGGGGCAATCATAGGATGCCTAGGCCTGTTTTTATTTTTTGCCCTGTCGCTTATTTCGCATAATTTTTTCTGAAAAAGTCAGAGGACCAACAAATCAAATGGGGTGGCCTAAAACTGTCGTCTTCCTTTAGTGTCCCATACTTTCCTTACTTTCCTCCCAAGTCAAGGATCTTTTCTGAAAGCCAGTTGGCCTACTTAGAGATGTACAGATCCCACCTTGGGGCAATGAATCATTTAACAGCTTTTAGAGGAGATTAGAGCTGAGACAGTCTTCATTTCTCAATGCCCTGAACATGTCCACATTAAGTGCACATTGACCCGATTTGGAATAAATGTTTATTGACCCTAGGCCTTCAGTTCAGACCCCTAGTGCCATTTTTTTAGTGAAAGATGAATGCATAGGAAAGAATCCAGCATCTTGTCCATTCTGGTAAATGAAAAGAGTTACACAAGATGTGTTCATTGAGGGCCTGCAAGGGGGGGTCCCGACAACACTTTACGCTGAATTCGGAAACCTCTCGATTACGCTTTACGACAAATTCCAAGTGGCTACAACGCATTACGTAGAATTAAAACAGCGAATACGCTCTATGCAAAAATATTAGAGCGGTCCGTCTAGTACGTAGAATTAAAATGGCCGATTATGCTCTACGGAAAAGGGCTTGCGGGCCCCCGTTCATTTCTTTATCAGAAAGAAAGGGATGAACGTCTTCATTCCGACCAGCAAAGAAAATCTACTGACAGTTTAATTTCCACAGCACGAAAACAGATATTTAAGCAAAATTTACGACATCCGTATTGAGACTTTAAAGACAGGGAAATATTTAAGCAGACTTTAAGATCGATTAAAGTGTACCGAAAAAGAAATCTAATCTTTACGAAGGATTTTCGCAGTTGTAAATGTAACGTATTACGGCATGTTTCTTTACGCACGGTTTACAGATACTGAAATATTCAGTTACGACAAACATGTTAAACCTGTATGTCCCAGAAAGGTACAGGAAATGTTTTGTATTTCTGTTTCAAAACTTAAATCAAATTTGAAACATGAGTAAATCAATCAGGTATATTTTTAATTTTTTTTTCTACGCACAATTTAAAGCAAGACGGAAAAGACGCCGCGTAAATTATCGAGAGCCTGTGCCTAGAACTCAACGCCTGACATGAATTGTAGCAGACCTCGGTGCACGCAAATATAAAATTTTTTATGTTTTCATGACTTACCAACAAACATATGACGTGTTTAATCCTCCTCTCCGCACACTTTCAGTGTACGGTGGGCAGACTTTCCCTCTTTAGCTTATATCTTCCCAAAAGTTATATGAAAGGTAGCGTTTATTCAACAAATATACGACGCGTTTAATCTTTCTCTACGCACGCTTTAAGCGAACGGAGGGAGAACCTCCCCCCTTTAGCTTATATGCTCCCGAAAACAATATGAAATGTAGCGTTTATTCAACAACAATACATCGACAATACGACGTGTTTAATCTTTCCCAACGTGCATTTTAAGTGATATGTTTCCAAAAGCTATAGATGATATGTAGCGTTTTTTTTTTCAACAAACATACGACGTGTTTAATCTTTCCCTACCGGTATTCTAAGTGAACTGGGAGGTAACTCCTCCCTTTAGCTTGTATGTTAACAAAAACTATATGAAAGGTAGCGTTTATTTAACAAATAAACGACGTGTTTAATCTTTCTCTACGCACACTTTAAGCGAACGGGGGGAGAACCTCCCCCCTTAGCTTATATATTCCCAAAAGCTATATGAAATATAGCGTTTATTCAACAACAATAAGGCGTGTTTAATCTTTCCATACGCGCATTTTAAGTGACGTTGGCTTATATATTCCCAAAAACTCTATGAAACGTTGCGTTTATTCAACAAATATACGACGTTTTTAATCTTACCTTACGAGTTCTTTAAGTGACGTTAGCTTATATGTTCCCGAAAGCAATATGAAATGTAACGTTTATTCAACAAACATACGACGTGCTTAATCTTACCTTACACGTACTTTAAGTGAAGTTAGCTTATATGTTACCGAAAGCTATATGAAATATACCGTTTATTCAACAAACATACGACATGTTTAGTTTTTCCTTACGCGCATTTTAAGTGACGTTGGCTTATTTATTCCTAAAAACTCCATGAAACGTAGCGTTTATTCAACAAACATACGGCGTGTTTAATCTTACCTTACGAGTTTTATAAGTGACGTTTGCTTATATGTTCCCGAAAGGTAAAGGAAATGTAGCGTTTATTCAACAAACATACGACGTGTTTAATTTTTCTGTACGCGTATTTTGAATGACGCTGGCTTATATGTTCCCAAAACCTCTATGAAACGATGCGTTTATTCAACAAATATACGACGCGTTTAATCTTTCTCTACGCACACTTTAAGCGAACGGAGGGAGAACCTCCCCCCTTTAGCTTATATGATCCC